GCCCCTGCCCACACGCGGCCGAGAGGAAGGCGAGGGCCGTGGCGATGTCGTCCACGGGCGTTTCCGAGAGGCGCAGGAACTCTAGGACCACGCTCAGCGCGCGGGTGTCCCGGCACAGCAGCTGTTCCCCAATGATGAAGCCCACACACCAACATTATGTCGGCAACGTTGTAATCGTGCATTGGGGGGGGGATGAAAATGCAACAACGGTAAGCGAAGGCGGCATGTACATTGACGAGCTTCCATTCGGCGCCCTTGTCCGCCATGGTAAATGTTGTGGCTGTGGTCGTCGGTCGGGCAGGCTCTGGCGGCGGCGGTTACCACAGGTGCACTCTGGAGGTGGCTAAGGCCTTAGTAGTAACGTGGAGGTGCGAAGGTGCGAAGGTGCGGAGTGCAAAGCAAACAATGGTCCGTGAGTTCAAGGAGCCCTGTGCGCGACCACCTGACGCAACAAGCCGAGCTCACATGGATGCACAGCAACAAAATTAAGTCATCCCATTTCCAGCAGCTCGGTTTTTTTGACTTGAAAGGATGTGTACCGTATCCGGGAGGACGAAGGAGAACCCAAACACTGGCCTGGGCCGTTACCTTGCACCTACGCGTAGCCCAGCACCCGGATCTCCGGCTGTGGATCTGAGCTGTGGAGCTACACCAGAATTGGAAGCGCACCATGGGCAACGGAGTGGGTACGGAACCGGCGTAGATCCAATGCACCACGGGGTTGACGTAGGTACCAGGGCCGGATCTTGAATCCACCAGGAGCTCTCCTGCTTCCTGGGACACTGATCCTGCGCCATGGCAGTCAACTGCAGCCAAGTTTTACCAAGGCGCCTCTCTGGCAGACTCTTTCTTATCGTCATTCGCCTCCAACCGCAACCACCGGCCACCTGCCATCACCACCGGGAAACACCCACTGGTGAGAGAAGAACACTACAACTACTACTACCACTACCACTACTTGCAAGCAGCAGGAGCAGCACCAGCAGCACCAGGAGCAGCAGCGGAAGAAGAGGAAGCGCACCATGGGCAACGGAGTGAGCAATGAGGAGTTCGAGCGGCAGGGCAAGCTGCTGGGCGTCAAGTCGGTGCCCGGGAAGCCCAGCCAGAAGTTCAAGCCGCTCTCCATCAAACGGATGAAGGAGATCCAGAAGCAGATCATCTTCGAGTACCCCTACCTCACCAACGTCTTCGAGAGCATCCTCGTGACCGACAACGAGCTGCCCGACTGCCCCATCGGTACTCGCCCCCCCCCACCACCACCACGCCACCACCCACGCCCTGCGTACTACTACGCACCCTTGGTACCAACGCTTGAGCGTGGGGGGCGTGTGCAGTGTGGGCCAATGACCAGTTCGAGCGGATGACGCTCTACCCCAAGGAGGACATCATCGGTCGCAACTGCCGCTTCCTGCAGGGGAGTACGTTGTG